GAATAAGATGGGGTCATTTGCGATCTGTCAGTGAGTGAAGGTACAGTAAATGCCTCTGCAAACAGAGAAGATAACTTGGCATTTTAAAGAGCTTCCTACTTTGAAAAGATTTGAAGCACTTGAAAACATACTTTTAGGCTGGACACGTTGTCCCACATCTGTAATCCCAGCACTTTGGGAGGCCAAGGCGGGCAGGTTGCCTGAGATCAGGAGTTCGAGACCAGCTTGGACAGCATGGTGAAACCATGTCTCTACTAAAAATACAAAAATTAGCAGGTGCCTATTATCCCAGCTACTCGGGAAGCTGAGGCAGGAGAATCACTTGAAGTCTGGAGGCGGAGCTTGCAGTGAGCTGAGATCGCACCATTGCACTCCAGCCTGGGCAACAAAGTGAGACTCCATTTCAAAAAAAAAAAAAGCTTTTAAAAACTGGTTCCATAGCAATGCCCTGAGAGTTTGGGAGGGGGCAGTAGTTAATTTGGGATACGAGGAGGATCAGAGTGATGGAGTAAACTTCCTGGGGACAGGCACACCTTTCTTGTCTCCATCTAAGTCTCAAGGGCGAGGGAGAGAGCGGCACCTTTAGGTTTGTCTGAGATCACAGTGGTGAGGTGCATCCAGGAGTAAAGGTAGAGAAATAGAGGCCCCGCAGTGTGAGAGTGGATGTTGATTGCTTTGTGTGTTGAAGTGAGGAGTCAGCATTTAATTGTTGGCTTAGGATTGTTCTCAAGTAGTGGATTTGGTTTGCAGGTTCTGGGACAGGGTAGGACGTATGTTGGAGAGCTCAAGACCCAGAAATCCAATGTTATTTTGCAAAGGGAATTTTACAAGCAAAGTTTTCTGAGCCTGGAAGACACTTAGGAATCTTTTCCAGTCATCTCATTTTATAGACTGGGAAACCAACATCTAAGGAGATGAATGGATTTGCCCAAGGTAATGTAGCAAGTGGCCCTCCTGGGACTCTAACTCGTATCTCTTCTCAGTCTGAGGTTATTTCTCCTATGTCTTCTTAAGGCATGTTTTACACCTTCTGCCAGACTAGTCATGTCAGGCTCACAGTCACAGCACTCCACACAATACTGACTGCCGTATCCTGCCTGGGTGCTCTCGTTCTTAGGACGGCCCCTGAGTAATGGGGTGCTCTTAAAGGCAGCATGAGAGGTTCAGCAAGCATTACAGGTCTTCATGCCAGTGAGGGCCCAGGCCACAGGATGGACAGTAATAAGTCAGGACTGGGAGAGGAGAGGTGGATTTTTAATCAGGGAAAAGTTTTCAACACAGAAAGACCATCCCGTTTGGAATGAGGATTGCAAATAGATTGCCTGAGGGGAGACGTACGTAATCAGAAAGCATTCTTTGTTTATTAACTCCTGCCCAGCAAAAGTGAAAGAAAATTCATGGGAGCATGCAAGAACAAAGGGCACAGCAAAGCGGGACAAACACAGCAATCCAGGAGGGGATTTCCAATTCAACGCTGGTATATAAGCTGGATGCAAAATCCTTTTTCTGTCTCTGGTTTCTGGCCCCTTGACTGCAAAGATGGCTCCCAATGCTTCCTGCCTCTCTGTAAGTTGGGATTTGATAAAGGGGATGGGGAAAGGAAAAGCACTTTCAAGAGTTGGGGAGAGATCTTAGAAACGGGGGATGGACAGTACTCAGGGCTCTGGGTGGCTGGGCAGGCATCCTTAAGGGGAAGAGGCTGGCATTGACATTTGCAGAATGGGAAGAGGGATTGTCTGAAGAGAAGCTGGTTATCTGGCTTCTGTGTTCTTTTTTTAATCAAACATTGGACTAGCTACTCTTAGGGATAAATGGTAGAAAAAAAAAGTGGGGGTGAGCTTTGTGTTCCACAGGGCTGGTGAGATTTGAAATTATGGAAACATTTTTTAGGGTTCTTAAACTTAATCTTCTCTTTCCTCTCAAAGGAGAGCTTCACAAAACTCATTTATCTGAAGTTGTTAATGATCTAACACATTACATTATATAAGAAAGTATGCACTATGGAGAGAACCTGGAATTAAGGCAATGCTTAACACAGATCCTCCAGTGAAGAAATGTCTGCAATATCTAGATTGGGAAAATATTTCTGAATGGAGTATGAGGGAGGTCTTCTCAGGCTTTCAAGTGGCCATTAGGAGTGAGTTTTCCAGTCTTTTAGGGTTTTCCAGCTATTGAAGTAAGACTTAGACATAGTTCCTACCTTCTGTGAGTGAGGCCCTGGTCTAATCAAAGGAGATCGTATTCTATATTAGATAGATATAAAAATACAAGAAATATAAATTAACAAGAAACACTGAACGTAGTGTCACTGTAATATGTAAGTTATTATTGTAAAGCAGTGGGAGATTTGAAAAAAAAATAACAGTTCAGTGATTATGTGCCCTACCCAGGATTTCCTTCTGAAGTATTGACAGAGGGTATCCTATTGCTGTATCTTATGAGGCTGTCATATTTTAGAAATTCTCTTTGACAGTTGTTTTTAGAGTCTGGTGTACATCTTTTGAAGCTCTGTATTTACTTTTTTGACATTTGACAAACTTTATCTGGATAGGAGAGGCAGGTAAATAAGGTGGAAAACCTTTAATTACATCTCAAGATGAATAAAAGGTATGTTTTTTACATCTATTGAAATGCACAGAAAAGCGAAATAAAAAATTGTCAACTAAAAAAAATCACACAATTTATAAATTTAGAAAGGAGACTTCATTTCTTATGAAGGGTTATAGTCTGCAAGGTAGCCATTCTGACAAGCTGAGAAGCTCGGCTTCTGGTTGAAAACCAAAAGCAAGCTTTGTAGGAGGAAAGTGACACAGGAATTTATGCTGAAGGGGTTTGCTAAGTATACATATCCAATAGGTTATGGCAGAGGCAATGAATATTCATGAAGGGGGTCCTAATGCATGCATGTTGAATAAGCTTGCATGTTATATACCACCCATGGTCACTCTGAGGTGGAGACTTAACATTTAATTGCATTACAGTTAGGCCTTATACATGAAAAGGTGAAGCAGGGACACAAAGGCATTCAAATGTGCAGCTTCTGTAGACTAGCCAGAACCAGTCCATGGTCAGTGGTCTCTTATCAGGAGAAAATTACTGAAATCAGTCATTTGTCCAATTAAAACTGTAGTTATGGCTTGAGGAACAGGGGGTCAGTTAGCCTGTGGATGAACTGTAATTGTTTTAATATTGTTCCTCTCGAGGCCAGTGCTTGTTTAGCTGCTACAGAAAAAAGAAAAATACTTTGTGGCAGTTAGAACATAGTTTATTCTTTAAGTGTAGGGATGCATGACTTAACTCTTGCCTATTATAGCCTTAGGTCTTGTTTAAAATTTGCTACAAAAATCTTATTGCCACCAATAATCCATTCTTTCAGTCTTATAATCTCTAACGTTGCTAGTCAGTTGTGTCTAAACTGCAAAAGGGAGAAGATATAATGAGGCATGTCCAGCCTCCTGTTTCATCATGACTGAGGTATTTTATTTATTTATCTTTTTGAGACAGAGTCTCACTCTGTTGCCCCAGCTGGAGTGCAGTGGTGCCATCTCCACTTACTGCAACCTCTGCCTTCTGGGTTCAAATGATTCTCATGCCTCAGCCTCCTGAGTAGCTGGGATTACAGGGACTCACCACCACGCCTGGTTAATTTTTGTACTTTTAGTAGAGATGAGGTTTCACCAAGTTGGCCAGGCTGGTCTCGAACTCCCAGCCTCAAGTGATCAGCTTGCCTCAGCTTCCCAAAGTTCTTGGATTACAGGTATAAGCCACTGCCCTTGGCCCAATGACTAAGTTCTTAAAATTTCTCTAGGGTCCCCCTGAGCAAGAGAGGGTCCGTTCAATTGGTTGGGGGCTCAGGATTTTATTTTTCATTCTCAAGATTGAAAAAAAGGTGTGATTATAAAGGAATGGGACAAATTTTCTTATTTGTGTTGCAACTTGGTAATTCCAAAGGAGAAGTTCCAAGAAAGAGAGGGACACTGGCTACTGAACAGGAGCTAGGAGACCAGATAGATAGCGGAAGGGTGGGAGCCATTGTGGTGGGGAGCAGAAATGTAAAGTGAGGCAGGCATCCTAGGCAACTGTCTTGTGGCTTTCACTTCCCAGGTGCATGTTCTTTCTGAGGAATGGGATTTAATGACCTTTGATGCCAACCCAGAGGACAGCGTGAAAAAAATCAATGAACACGTCCGGTCTAAGACCAAGGTTCCTGTGCAGGACCAGGTTCTTTTGCTGGGCTCCAAGATCCTAAAGCCACGGAGAAGGCTCTCATCTTATGGCATTGACAAGGAGAAGACCATCCACCTTACCCTGAAAGTGGTGAAGCCCAGTGATGAGGAGCTGCCCTTGTATCTTGTGGAGTCAGTTGATGAGGGGCAGAGGCACCTCCTCCAGGTGCGAAGGTCCAGCTCAGTGGCACAAGTGAAAGCAATGATCGAGACCAAGACGGGTGTAACCCCTGAGACCCAGATTGTGAATTGCAATGGAAAGAGACTGGAAGATGGGAAGATGATGGCAGATTATGGAATCAGAAAGGGCAACTTACTCTTCCTGACATCTTATTGTATTGCAGGGTGACCACCCTGGGGATGGGGTGTTGGCAAGGGCCAAAAAGCTTATTTCTTTTAATCTTGTAATCAACGTGAGAATGAGATGAGTAGAGTAAGATTTGGGTGGGATGGGTAGGATGAAGAATATTGTCCAACTCTGTTTCTTTGATTCTAACACAATTAAATAAGTGGCAGGATTTTTAATAATGTATTACTGAGACTAGTAAATAAAATTTTAAGGCAAAATAGAGCATTCAAAGCCAGCTTGCAATTTAATTCTTTCTTGATACCTTGTTATTTATGGAAAAACTCCTATCTCCTTTCCTTTTTGACAAGAGAGTTTTAGGTTGGGATCCATGTTCTACTGATTTCTGAATTTCTGTGTTTGTTAAGCCCAGTGCTTTATTTATATCACTCAATAATGGTTGAATCAAAATGAATTTCTACTTACAGAGCATAGTGAAATGATTTATTTTAAAATGAATTAGTTGCTCTGACATGATCATAATCAAATTACTAAACATTTTAGAAACTAAATTGAGCTCCTTTCCCCCTCTTCTCCTTTAAGGCTATTTGGTATGAAATGAAGTCTGGCACCATGCCCCCTCCCACTCTCTATGTCCCACACCCAACTAAAATAGTTATTATTTATGGGGATGTTGGTGGGCAAGGAAAGGTATTTTCCACAGGGATCTAGTGATTGTGTGTAACTAGTGGGGGTTCCTAGGGGTAGATGGACACCGGGAGAGAACAAACTTTCTGAAGCTGGGGGACTGTGGACCACCCTCTCTCCTACCTGCCATAGGGTCTAGCAGGTCTTCCGTATGATAAGGGTGCTGGTCTGGGCGAGGGTGGGTGAGGAGCTGGCTTCTGGATTGACCTCAATATTCTGCTCAGGTTCTGCTGATTGAGCATTTTTCTCTCTGCTTTTTTTCATGAGTAGATCCCTGTTCCTGTCTTGAGAACTTCCTCCATCTTCCTCCCTCCATTTACTCCTCTTTCTGACTCTTGCTCTCTCTCTCTCTCATGTCTCACTATTGATCACCTGTGAGTTTTTTTCACAGCCTGAGACATGCCCGCCTTCTTCCACACTCGTCCTAGTTCCTTGTTTCTTTAAAACTTGTTCAAGAACCAACTCCTGCAGGAGGGTTTCCCATCTTAACCCCACTCAACAAAATTCACCACCACTTATGGGCTTTCCTCATCACACTTATGGGTGAAATGCCCTGGGGAGGGCACTGGTCCCCTGGCAAGGTCTGCACTAGGTTGGACTGGTTTCCGAGAAGAGAGTCCATGGCCTCTTTTTCTGGATGACCCTCTCCTGCAGAGTAGGGACTATGATTTTCTTGTCAACTTGAGACTTCTGATGGCAGAGATCAAGAGGTCTTCCACGGTCTTCCATCAGATAGGGAGGAAGCTAAAGGCAGTCATCACTTCCATCATCTTACCTGCACGTGGAGTCGTGAGGGGTAGGTTTTCCTTCCTTAAACCTGTGTATATAGAGGATTTAGGAATTTTCCCTCAAGAACTAAACATTTCCAAACGGGAGGAAAACATTTCCCCCATTGGACTCCTTAGGACAAATCTTGCAGATTATCATACAAAAATGAAGAGTCTGAAGTCTAAACTGACTCACTAATGGGTATTTCCATCCTTGGGTTCTGGCTTAATACTTTCTCCCCTCCCCAACCTACTCACTGTACAGCCTGGCCTCTCCCCAGACTCCACAGCAGCCTCCTCGCCGCCCCCTTCACTTCCTTATTCCTGAGGGTGTAGATGAGCGGGTTGAGAGCGGGTGTGACCACGGTGTAGAAGAGCGATACGAACTTGCCCCGTGCCTGGTTGTAGTGCTGCGCGGGCTGCAAGTAGGTGTAGATGGCCGAGCCGTAGAACAGGCAGACCGCTGTCAGGTGGGACCCACACGTGCCCACCGCCCTTCTCCGGCCTCCGCTGGACCGCATGCAACAGACAGCTCGGGCCACGGCACCATAGGAGGCCAGGATGACGCCAGACGGCAGCAGCAGGATGACCACACGGGCGGCGAACATCTGGTTCTCGGTGGTGTCTCCGTCGCCTCCGCAGGCCAGCTTGAGCAACGCCGGCAGCTCACAGATGAAGTGGTCCAGCAGGCGGGGCCCGCACAGAGGCCGCTCAGCCAGGAGCGCTGTTTGCGCAACGGAGTTGGTGAGGCCGCCTAGCCAGGAGGAGCTGGCCAGCGCGCGGCATAGGCGCGGGGAGGCGAGCCCAGCGTAGCGCAGCGGACGGCACACTGCGGCCGCGCGGTCCAGCGCCATCACCGCCAGGAGGACGCACTCGGCGGAACCCAGAGCCAGCGATGCGCACAGCTGGGCCGTGCAGTGGCTGCGCGGCAGCCAGAGCGCTGGTCCGCGCAGGTTGGCCAGCAGGGGCGGCACCACGCTTGTGGTGAAGCCCGCGTCCACCAAGGCCAGGTGGCAGAGGAAGTAGTACATGGGCGTGTGCAGGCGCGGGTCGCGCACCGTCAGCAGCACCAGCACCGAGTTGCCGGTCAAGGTCAGGAGGTAGCAGAGGAGGACAAAGGCGAAGAGGACCGGCTGCAGGGAGGGCCAGTCGGAGAAACCCAGCAGAAGGAAGCGCTCCTCTGTGCTGTAGTTGGCCTAAAGGAGGAAAACTCCCAGAATGTTTGGAATGTCGAAATAAAAAAGGGTGACTACCCTGTTATAAGCAAAGGAAAAACCTTGGAGTGTGGGGCTGGGTTGGGCGAGGGAATGGAAGCATATACAAGGTTAGTTTGTGGATTGTAATCCCGTTTACAGATGAGATTACTTAATAATAATCCCCCTAAGAATAAGAGCAACACTCCAAGCTTGGCCTGGCCAACATTCGGTAGGCAGAATGATCACCTCCGTTGTTTCAGGTACTCTGTGTTTATTTATGCAACTGTTCATATAAAATGGAGACCAGGCCAGAATAATCCTTGAGCTGGCAGAGCCAGTTGGGCCTCCTAAGTAACATTAACCTTGCTTGATTCGCAAGCATGTCTGAAACTTTATTTGTGCTATTTCTTGTAAATGCCTATATTAAAGAGACATAGAACTTAAGCTCAACCAATCAGAAGCAGCCAACAAAAACATAATTATATAACTAGGACTTCCTCATGGGATAGACCAAATAAGGCAACTGTGTAACTGTAACCAATGAAATATTATCTTTGCTTTACCTGTTTTCCTAAAAAGCCTCCTCCTCATGTCCTAGAAAGCTTCTCCACAGAGAGATCAGTGGAGCTCCCTAGTCACTTCTGGCTTGGAGCTGCCCAATTCAGGAATCACTGCTCAAATAAACTCTTAAATATTTTATTGGGCCTTAGTTTACTTTCTAACAACCCATTATACTGCTGATTACCGATTTTTAATTTGTTGTGAATAGAGACCACTCCCAACGTCCATGCCCCTCCCACTGAGGGGAGATCAGCACATACATACTAGCCTTTAAATCAGGAATCAGTTGGGTAGAAAAAAAGAACACTTTCTGGTAGACCAGAAGTCAGGACATCTTGGTTTTACCTAGCATACTCCCTTTAGCCAGTTATGTGATATGGGGATATCTTCATTTCCCTTTGTCTCAGTTTTCTCATGTGTAAATCAAGGAGTTTGAACTAGATGACATCTAAGTTTCCTGTCCGAACTCCTTCACTTTACTACCAAATATTGATCAAAAAAATAAAAAATAAAAAGAGAACCCCAGGGAACAAAAGGAACCTCATTTTCCAAAGGGTCTTGTTGAACCAAGCGTCTTAATGGTACAGAAACATATGGTTTATGTGATGGATGAAAGTTTATGTGATGGATAGAAATCTTTCTGCTGCATGACTCCTGACATAAATTGTTGTGTAGATAACTTATTTTACACATCATATTCACTTCTCTTAATTACAAAAGCACAGTAACCTAATTTTTCATTTTTCAGGGGGAAAAACACTGTTCCCTACCAAAGCATCCTGTTTGATTGTATGTTGCATTCATTTATCCTCACTGGGCAGAACAAGCATTAATGTTGTGATTAAGAACCAGGGCTTCGCAGCCAGACTGCCTGGGTTTGAGTCCTGGCTCTGCCATTTTCTAGCTGAACAACCTTGGGCATGTTACTTAGCCTCTCTCTGCCTCAGTTTCCTCATATGAAAATAGAAATATGTTAAGGGGGCTAAATATGAAAAGCTGTTAGAACAATGCCTGGCACATAGCAGTTGTTAACTATTGTCATCCTTTAATAAATGCTAACTATTGTCTTATCTTTTTCCCAAATTAAGAAACAGGTTTTTAAGGGGTTCTTATGCTAGGCAATGATATAACTGCTATGAACATTTACATCGGTTTTCATTTATTAACTCTAATCTTTACTCACTTGAAAATTAGGCAATAGCCTTATTTTATAGAGTGTGTTAGGAGAGTAATTGAAGTTAAATTACTTGCCCAAGGCCACATCATTTGTAAATGCTTAATAGGTCTTCCACTTATATTTGACTAACTTCAAGGTCCTTCCCTGTTTGATCAACCAGGCTCCACTGTGCTAGAGACTGTGGAGTATAAAAGGACATGCAAAGTCTGACCTATATTTAGAGATAATTTTATAATTTGGGGTCATATCAGAGATGAATAAAATAGGAGAGGTGAATTCAGGCTTACAGACCTATGGTGGCTAGAGATGTTGAGTTACAAAAGGTCAAATTCTTTAATGTGATTACACAGACACTCAACAGTTTAGCCAGGCAAGCTCTAAACCATTCCTCTTCAAATATGCCACACCATGAAAACAGGCACACAATAATAAAATTGCACAGATAACATTCTTGTTACATGTATGCACAAATTCCCCAAAACACAGGCATGTGTGCACCTGTAAACATAAACCCATCATCTCCCTCACACATCTAGAAGACAAATCTGTTGTGAAATATATAATATAATGTGTCATCAAACTTCACTTGGTATTTCAGAATGTATCTCTCGGCACGAGACAATTTGCTGTAGGGCACTGTAATACCCAACTTACCTTCATAACTTATCTTTGGCACTAATGTTTACACCTTGAGCTTCCAGATGATAGGTTGGTCTCTTGCTCCTTCGCTGGATTCTCTGGATTTGAAATGGCAGTTGGGAGGATTTAATAAAAGATACAATTGCATGGCTATGTTGATTTCTGGAATGGGTGCCTGAGATCAGAGCCAGGTATCTCAGGAAGAGGATAAGGGGTGGGTGTCATCGTGCTTGTAAATAGAGGAATAAAAAGAACGGGTAAGAAAGAACCTATGTTTGTGAAATTTCAGGATCTAGGCAGAGGTGGTGATGTCTGTTCCTGGAGAACCTTGTAATGGGGTACAGACCAGACAAGGACCTGGGCCTTGTGCTGGTGGCAAATCAGCATTAGCTGCTGGTGGTAGCAAAATCCCTCCTGGATCTAAAGGACACAGTTAGAGAGAAGGAGGAAGCATGCTGATGAGTGCTCTCACTAGAGAAGAAACAGGGGAATCAACGTTCCCTGTTATTTAGAAGAGAGGATGGAGCTCTGGGGAATCGATGTCCCACTCCCATCATTAGTACTTTGCATGAAGGTGTCCGGAGAGGAGTCCTCAAGAGAGGGGAAGAGGAAATTCTGGAGGGAAAGTCCCTTTAGGGTAGTGTGTCTCTGGCAGTGTATGAAGGCCAAAGGCAGCACAATTCCCTCTCATTATCGTTTCTACTATTCAATTGGAACTGGTTTAGAATTTCGTTCTCTGATGGAGTGACCTTAAACTAATTGTTTAACTTCAGTGATTCTCAGTGTCATCGTCTGTAAAACAAGGAAAATAACTGTTTCTGTCAGGAATTTTGTAGATTTGTTGAAGTCATTTTCAGTTTTGAGTGTAGCTTTGACTGTTGTGTCATCAGCTTTGCTCCAAAGCCCGCTTCCCGGCTTGGGCTGTCACCATTCTCGTTCCCTGTGCTCCTCCTTCGTCCTTGAAGATTTTTGTCCCTGATCCCCTCTCACTCTCTCCAGTACTGTGATGATTCTTGGTGAATTCAGTATCCTCATAGATTATCTTTCTATCCTCTCCTCTCAGTTTCTTCCTCAGTGAGAGGTCTGCAAATTCATCATGGCCCCTCATGTCCCTTGTATCTTCACTTCTCTGTCAAGCTTAGACTGTCTGGTCAATCACTATTACTCCTTTGCATACTCTCAATGTTCCTGCACTTTTCACTTGTTAGACTCTTATGGCTAAGTTGCTTTCCTATTTAAATCCAACTATAATCCTACTCTCTCCCTATATTTGTTCAGCTGACTGTGGCTGAAGAAAAGCCCATAGCCACGCTGAGAGGTTTCATTTTACATTCATGACCATTACTTTAAGAGGAAGGGGCTAATGTCATGGATAATCGTATTTCCCTAGTCCACTCACTTTCCCCTCTCCTATGTAACTCATGCATACTTTCTGGTCTCTCCTTAAATCCCCAATACTCCTCTCTCTCAAATAATATCATCTTTCTCAGATAAAAATTTTACTTCATTTTTACTGAAAAAATGTAAAGCAATCAAAAGAGAAGTTCTTACCAACCCATCTGTTCACCTACTTGCATCTGTGCTCACATATGGGACTCTACATTTTCTTCTGATACTGTTAGGATTATACTATTTTGCATCTGTCTGATGTTAGTACCTCCACTTGCCCACTATATTCCATCCCTTTCCACTTATTCAGGGATATTACTCTAGTCTTTACCCTTTTTCCTGTAGTAAAATTTGTCCTTCCAGTGGACCATCCCTATCCATACATAAACATACTTTGATTTCACTCATTAAAAAATAATCTTCTCTTGACTTCTCTTCCCCCTAGCTACCACCCAGGTCCTTGAATTCTCTTTTGGGTTGGCTCCAACAAGGCTTCTGCACTGGAAATCTTTCATCGAAGGTCACAAACCGACCTCCACATTGATATAGTAGTTTTCAGTCCTCATGTTACTTGACCAGTTAGAAGCTTTTCAATAGAGTGGACTTAGCTTTCCTTTTTGGAACATACATTTCACTTCTGCTAAGGACTGAATTGTGTCCCCCCTCAAAATTCGTACGTTGAAGATCTAATCCTCAATGTGATGGTATTTGAAATGGGCATTTTAGGAGGTAATTATGAGGTTAAATGAGGTCACAAAGGTGAGGGCCTAATAGGATTAGTTTCCTTACAAATAGGAGGAAAGAGAGTAAGAGCATGGGAAAGGCCTTGTGAGGAGGCAGCAAGTAGGGAGTTGTCTGCAAGCCAGGAGGAGAGCCATCACCAGGACCAAAATCAGTCAACATCTTGATCTTGAACTTCCCAGCCTCCAGCACTGTGAAAAATAAACTTCTGTTGTTCAAGCCACCCAGTTTATAGTATTTTGTTATGGCAGTCTGAGCTGACTGACAGCTTCAAAAGCACCAAAGTCTTCCAGCTGTTCCTTCTGAATCTCCTTTATTGGTTTCTCCTCCTCTCCCTGCTGTGCCCAGGGTTCCGTCCTCTTTCCTTTTTTGTATGCACTTCCCTCATCCAGTCTTATGACATCGTACACCATCTACATGCTGATGACTCCTAAATTTATATTTCCAACCTGGATTTTTCTCCTAACCTTCAGATTCCTATGTCCAATTGTCTACCCATCAGCAGCATTTTGGTGTCTAATACACATCTCAGGTTTAACATGCCATAAACTGAACTCCTTACTACCCACCCTCTCCCCCACAATGTGCTTCTTCTGTAGCCTTTCTTGTCTCCTATAATGAAAATTCATTCTTCTAGTTTCTCAGAAAAAATCTTGTGATACTGACTCTTCTTCATCTCACCCACATATAATCTATCCACAAATTCTATTGGCTCTACCTGCAAAAATATGTGGTGAATCTGACAAGTTGTTATCACTGTTAGGACCACCACTCTGGTCTGTCCTTGTAATCATCACCTCTTGCTTGGATGATTGAAATAATCCTCTGGTTCTTCCCTTAACCTTTAGTATATTCTCAACATGGAAGCCAGAGTAACCCATTTAAAACACAACTCGGATCATACCACTTCTTGTCTCAAAATCTTCCAACAGTTTCTGTCTTACAGAAAGAAAGAAAAAGCCTAGTCACAAGACCTAACGATCAGTGCTCTCCACCTCAGTACTACTGACAATTTTGACTGGATCATCCTTTTTGGGGGTGCTGTCCTATGCATTGTAGGATGTTTAGCACCATCCCAGGGCTCTACCCATAGGTGACAATAGTGCCTCTTCTCCAATTGTGACAATCAAAACCAGCTCCAGACATTGCCAAATGTCCCAGTGGGAGGCATAATCATCCACGGTGAGAACTGCTGCTTGACTTCATCAGATCCCTTTGACCTCATTGCCGCCTTTCCTGATAAATCACTCTACTCCA